CCGAGGAGGTGTCGGTCCAGCGCCAAGCCTGACCCACGTCCCGCAGCACAGGGCCTGGCCCCGGAGGTGCTCTGCAGTTGTTGTGGGGATGAGAGGTTGATGGTGAAATACGAAATAACGCAGGCAGGGCGGTGGGCCTTTGCTGATTTAACTTGCTGATGCGCTCTGTGAACTTCACCCAAACGCTGGGGGCTGGACGCTCTGCGCGGTTTTACGTAAAAGTGTCAGCAGGGGAGAAGGGAGCAACGAGGGGGGCGATCCCCGAGGGAGGTGGGCTGGGAGCTTCCCACACCCTCTCCGGCCGAACGCTTCTCCTACTGCACAGCGCCGTTAAGGGGGTGTCAGGAGCCAGGTGTAAGGCCTTTGCTCCAGCATTCACCTGAAATGAAGTGGTGGTTTATTCTGGTTCGGACAGAAAACGCCACACATCTTTTTGCCCTTGGCGTCCAAAGCCTCTCCTTGCACCTGTGCAGGTGTGTTAAGTCTTAAGATCCCAAAGCGCTGTTTGCAACAAGTGGATTCCAGAGTCGGGACAACGTGGTTGTGTGAGATGCTGTGGGAGCTAATCCTGAACCTGGTGTCCAAGCAAGTAAGAAACTAAGCCGGCTATCAAGTGGAAGCACAGGGAAGTAAGAAAGGTAATGCAGTGGAGGTCTGTGAAATTGAAGCCTCGGGGCTTTATAGCCCTCCTCTGTGTTCTTTCCCATGACAAACCAAATGGAGTCCAAGCCCGATCCGTGGACTGGGAAACTCCTTATCCCAGTCTTTTCCTCCTCATCCCCAAACTGCCTCTCCTTGTGCCGGCATATTGCAGAGGCTGCCAGCGTTCCGTGGCTGCAGTGAAAGGGGAGAAAGAATGACACTGTGGATGGCCACAGGCCTAAGCTGAACTAAGTTACTTTGGAGAGCGTGAATATTTGGGCTATTAAAAAGGTCAGCCCCTTGCTTATAATGTGTTAGTCTTCATTCCTTTGCCTTCTCTCAAGACGGATTTACTTATCCGAGCTGCCAGAGGGCATGCATTTTCTACCTATTTGGAGCTGTCCTGGAAGAGGCAGTGATTTTCCTTCTTAAAGTGTTACACTGGAATGTGAAAGACAGTTCTACTACCCACACAGATTTTTCTCAGAAGTGTTCTTTTTTTCCCTGAATATTTTTGAAGTTACAATTTGAAGATTTTGCACGTTTGTCTTAAGATTTCTGTCCCAGTTTTGCAGCTGGTCTGCACACACAGAGTAATTCCAACACGCTTGAGGGAGACATTACTGTTTTTTTAAGTGCAGATCACCTGCTCAAGATTTGGGAAATGAGGCCAGGATTTCCAGAACACATCAGACTGAATACTCACAGTCTGGAGCACACATATGCTTGGTTCTGACTTGGAAAATACCAGATGGAAATCTGGCAGCTGTAATGCGGATCAAACAACGTAATTTAAAGTTCCAGTGGCCCTGAGGAGATCCTTGGTTCCTCATACCGAGGAAATGTCAAGTAGTCAGTTGTACTGATTTTATTTCAAAAGTTGTCTTTATTCTGTATATATTACCAAGAGTTAATCTGTAAGCTCCTCTGATTTATCTTCTAAATACCGTGCAGCACCCAGACTAATTCCTAAGACATATCTTTGGCCAAGATTTTATTTTCCTCAAACTGAGATAGACATTTTCTGTCCTGTGGAATAAACACAGAAGGTCTGGTGGTTTGTTCAGTGACTTGTGTTTCAAACATCATTATTTATTAACATTTTCCACTTCCTTCATAGCTTGTGGATTCAGGTTACACTGGGCCTAAGAAGTACACAGCATAAAGCTGCTTTTTCCTTTGTTGCATGGGGAGAGTTGTAACATAGGCAATTATCCTACAGATTATTTATTTTACAGTTTTTAAGAGTAGCAATCCCCAGCTCTTGCAAGTTTGGGGAAACCTGTAGGAGATATCAAAGGGTGTGAGCAATGACTGCAGGGAAGGGCAAGATCTTCAGGTGCAGGTTGGAAGCAAGAGGCCACTGCAGCGCTCTCAGGTTACTGGGCTGAGTCCTAGACCAGACCAACTCAAAAGTCCTTGTGACTTCTTCTGGCAGCTCACAGCCCAAAGGAACCAATAATTGGCAAAAAGGGATTAGCAAGGGCATGGATGAAGAACCCCCTACCCCTTCCTCTGGTCAGAGTACTCTGGTGGATCGGGGGGGAACCCCCGTGTTGACTTCATTGCCATATTGAAACAATCTCTTGACTGGTCCTGCCAGCCATAAGCCTGATTTGTGCCAGTGATCCAGCAGAAACCATAGCTCAGCTATCGAGCATGGTACAGGACCTGAGCCAAAATCTAGGGCAAGAGTCACATTTTTACTTAATCCAATATTATGAGCTTTATGGCAAAACCAAGCAAAACTAGTTACACCAATAAGTGCCCAATACTCACTGTTAAAGTGAATAGCTGAATGAACAACTCTCACATGACTCCCAGAAGGGTCCTCCTGATTATGAATCGTTTTATGCATCGTTTTATGTACAGCATCAGAGACCTTCTCTTCTGCAAGCAGGAAAAATAGCCATGTGACGAATAGGCAGATGCTGGTTTATTTTTTAAAGATATATAATATGTATGATACGATCTATTTAAACCATATTCCTGTCAAAACTGCTGCCTTCCTTGCCTGAGGAAGGAAAGCTGAGGAAGTGTATTTGTGTACATTTGAGCATGCCCTCATCTTCGTCACTCTGGAAATGGCATGGAGCAGGATGCTGAGAGCTGCTCAAATTGGGAAGTTGGCGGGGCAGACCAGGGAGTCCCCAGAGCACCCTGACCCCATTCTTTGTAAGCAGACAGTTTCACCAAGGACACCCTTACTATCCAAAAATACATGCTCGTGCTCTGTCGCTCCCTTTCCCCCCCTCTATGGTGACAATGAAACATCCAGCCTCTCTCACAATCTCCACAGAAATCCCAATATTTGGTTTTTTTCTGGATTTTTGACTACTCCTCCCTAGCTTTGGCATGATGGTGGTAGATTGCAAGCCTCCTGGTCCAAGTAGAAAGATGATCTATGCTCTTATTATGTTATTGCCCGTTAAGCTTTAAAGCTATAAAGCCTCTCCCTTATCTTTC